AAAAAAAAAAAATTAATGAAGTCTGAGAAGAAGGAATGCAGAAAGGTGTAGTATCAAGAAAGTCACAATTAGAAAATGTTTCAGGAAGGAGGTGGTGTCAATTATGTTGAGGGTGCTTAAGTTGAGATGGATAATGATAGAGAAGTGATTTTTGGATTTGGCATAAGGTCATTGGTGACCTTGATGAGCAGTTTTTGTGAAGCATTGGGTTCAGAAACTCACTTTTGAGAAGAACACAAGAGGTGAAAAACTTGAGACAAGTATAGATATTTCTTTCAAGAAGTTGGTGTTTTGTTTTTGTTTGTATGTGAGAAGGGGAACTAATAAATGACACAGTAGCTGGAGAAGAATGTGGCATCAAGGAAGGTTTTTCCCTAAAGATGGAAGACATGCTTAATCTCTTTTTATCTTTTTCTTGCCCCACTAAATTTAAACTATCAGCAAGTTCTACTTTTTTTAACCTCATAAATCATTTAAATTTATTCACTTATCTTCATTACAATGGCCACCACCCTGATCTATCATCATCTGCCATAGAGACTACTGCAGTAGTAATTCTAACTGACCTCCTACTTTCACTCCAGTTCTCACTTAATCTCTTCTCTACAATTCAGTCATTTTCCAAATGCAAATCTGACCAAATCATTCCACTTCTCCATCCTGCCTTCATTAGATTATAAAGATCTTCTTATTGCTTTTGGGATAAAAACAAAACCACATGATTTATAAAGCCCAATATAGTCTGTTCATGCGTACTTCCTAATTTCATCTCCCACTCTCTCCCGTCCTTTCTGCGTTTCTGCTACACTGTCCTAATCTGGCCCAAACCCTTTGTACTTCCTATTCTCTCTGCCTAGGATATTCTTTTCCTTTTTCTTTCCTTTTTTTTTTTTTTTCCAATTGTGCTTTAGGTGCAAATTTACAGAGCAGAATTTGTCTTACATTCAACATTTCATGTACATTTGGTTTCACTCCCCAATTACCATCCCCAACCCTAATCCACTCTCTTCCTCTCCCTTGCCAGTAACCCTCCCACTCCCTGTGCCCTTCTTAGTTAAGCATTCCTGTGTGTCCAGCTTTTCCTCCATGTGAATGTTGCTCCTCTGGTGCCCCATCGCTGATTGCTCCAAGGGATGTATCTCCGTAGAGTAAGTGGTGCATTGCCCTGGGTTGAGTGTTCTGCACGTAAGTCTTATTTACTGTTGGGCTGAGAGCCAGCTATTGGGAGTGAGTTTTATCCCAGGCCCAAAGTGTATCCCAGGGCCATAGTCTTGGGCGTCTCACCAGACTCTGGTCATTATTGTGTTTTTGGATTTTATTCCACATTTTTCCTCCCACTCTATCCAGGATCTCCAGTTTTGATACCTTCCTGAGTGGCTGGCATTGGTAGCTGGGCACCATCTAGTTCTTCTGGTCTTGAAGTCTATCATGTCCTAAGGCTGATTGCTTCCAAACACCCTTGGTTTTCTTCACTTTTCTTCACTTTCGAGGATAGGAGACCATTAGCTGCATCTTAGATGGCACTTGAAAGCTTTTAAGACCCCAGCTGCTACTCACCAAAGTAGGTTGTAGAAGAAGATTTTTATGTATTTTGTTGTGCCAGTTGAGTCTGGTGTCCCCCAGTAGTATGGTCCTGAATCAGCAGATCCATTGGATCTCTCTCCCACAACATCTGGATGTCTGTGAGGGATTGCTCTACATCTGTCTTCTGTTGCTTCTGTAACAATTGTGGATATTTTGTATCACTAGTATCTGTGCAAAGCACTTACTGATGAAGAATGAAGACTACAGTCTGCAGTAAGGATTACACCTCAATATAAAGAAAACAAAAATCTTCACAACTGGACCAATAAGCAGCATCACAATGAATGGAGAAAAGATTGAAGTTCTCAAAGACTTCATATTCCTTGGTTCTACAATCAACACCAATGGAAGCAGCAGTCAAGACATCAGATGACAGATGTTGTTGTTGTTATGTGCTGTCGAGTCGGTCCTGACTCATAGCGACCCTCCTTGGGTTTCCAAGGCAGTATCACTATGGAAGTAGATTACCCCGTCTTCCTTCCAAGGAGTGGCTGGTGGGTTTGAACCGCCAGCCTTCTGATTAGCAGATAACACTGGGCAAATCAGCTGCAAAGGCTTCTTTCAAGTGCAGAAGAGCAAAGATGTCTCCTTGAGGGCTAAGGTGCACCTGACACAAGCCATGGTATTTTCAATTGCCTCCTATGCATGTGAGAGCTGGACAATGAATAAGGAAGACCGAAGAAGAGTCGATGCTTTTGAGTTGTGGTGCTGGTGAAGAGTACCACAGACTTCTAAAAGAACTAACAAATCTGCTCTAGAAGAAGTGCAGCCAGAATGCTCCCTGGAAGTGAGAATGGTCAGACTTCATCTCACCTACTTTGGTCACGTTGTCAGAAGGACCATTCCCTGGAGAAGGATATTATACTTGGTAAGGTGGAGGGTCTATGAAAGAGGGGAAGGCCCTCAACAAGATAGATTGACACAGTGGCTGCAACGATGGGCTCAAGTATAGCAAGGATCATGGAGCTGGCGCAGGATCAGGCAGTGTTTCATTCTGCTGTGCATGGAGTCGCTATGAGTCGGAGACGATTTGATGGCACCTAACAACAACAACAACAACAGTATCTGCCAGATTAGCCTCAGGTAAATCTATCGTTGGTCTCGAGTATATTCCTATTCGCTGACCCCCATCTGATCTTCTCAGTTGTCTATGTGTTTATCTGTAGCCTGGTGTTTGTTGTTAATGGTAATGCAGTATTGTAGTCATACTGGTATTAGCCTCTGTCATCTATATCTTATGTGTGTAATTCAGTGTCCTTCCTTTTGCCTAGGATATTCTTCCTCTCGCATCTCCCCTTCTGTCCCACACTCTACCTAATAACTATTACTGCTTCTTCAGATGCCCAGTTCAGTCATGCCTTCCTCAGGAAAACCTTCCTGACCTCTCTAACCAGGTTGATTACTTTTGTTATATACTCACACAGTACCAAGTAACGTTTTTATACTTTCCACAATTGTAATTTTTCATTTTCCTGCCATTATTTTATTAATATCTGTTTCCCTATTAATTTGTAAGCTCCATGAGAGCAATGATAGTTCCATGAGACAGTGACCATATGCCTGCACAGAGTAGATATTTAGTAAATTATTTGTTAAGTGAATTGAAGCTAATGAATGAATCATAATTATTAATACCTCATTAGTAACAGAGTATGGTCTCTTGAAATAATTTGGAAATTTTCTAGTACCTGTGAAGAAATGTTGGCAACCAGCATTATTTTTTAAATCCTTAATCTAAAAACTATTTGAAACTGTATTCCTTTATATTCAACTATCTGCCTTTGATCACCTTAGATTTACTTACTGCTTCATTATTTTTACCCTTCTCTCACTTGTTTGTTGTTACATGAGTAATTAGAGATCACAATTATTCTTTTATTGGAAATCATTAGATTCAATTTAGCTTTTTTCCAGGGATATTAAATAGCAAAGTTGACCAATACATCTCATTTCATTTCTTTTGCCATTAAAGACAAATTTATGAAGAGACTAATTGATATTAAAATTGATTATTTCAAAGTCAGAAAGGATATCAAAGCCTCCTGATTAATTTTCAAACTAGAAAAATTAATGCTACATAAGACGTGGCTTAATTTACATTATATGAATAAGATAACCAAAAACCAAACTCACTGCTGTCAAGTCAATTTGACTCATAGCTACCCCTCCTTGGGTTTCTGAGGCAGTATCTTATGGAAATAGATTGCCCAATCTTCCTTCCAAGGAGTGGCTAGTGGGTTTGAACTGCCAACCTTCTGGTTAGCAGTCAAATGCCTTAGGCACTATACCACCAGAGCCCCCATGAATAAGATTTGTTGTTGTTGTTGTTGTTGTTGTTATGTGCCATCGAGTCGAACCTGACTCAGAGCGACCCCTCCTTGGGTTTCCGAGGCAGTATCACTACGGAAGTAGATTGCCCCATCTTCCTTCCGAGGAGTGGCTAGTGGGTTTGAACCACCAGCCTTC